AGTTGAAGATTTAGATTTAACGAGAGTTTTACTTTAAAAAATAAAAAAATAAATAATAAAAAATTGCTGCCCCATCTGTTTTAGCCATACCCTTCCATTTTGGAGCAGGAAGTGTGACCGCATCATCACTGCACTTTATCAATGTTTGGTCATTCTAGATTAAACAACAAATACTTGATGTTTGTAAAAGACATTCCATATGGTTTATCTGCTTTTAAGGGACATTAACATTCATTTTACCTTGTAGCACTTTTACAGTGACTTCAGTAAAGAGCCCTGGCACAGAATAGCTGTCACTGTTTTCCATTCCTGAAAGCTGACTGGACCCTGGTTGGGCTACTGTTTGCAGTCAGTGGTGTATCTAGAACGTCTAAAAGGCCTAGAGTTGTTTTTTCCTCACAAAATTGGTCCCACCTATTCTAAATCAAAACATGATTGGTTGAGTCCATTGTCAGTTACTAATTATGTTAGTAGTTAATTTAATGCGTAAGGCATTCAGTCCAGCTGGCTGTATAGATACGATCTATATCTGTAGTATCTGCATAGATACTACAGAGTAAAACATTTTGATCTGTAAATTTTCCAGTGAGTAGTTTAAGATTTTAGCCTTTTTGTTTTTAACCAAAACACAACAATAAAATGAGAAAATTACTATAATCCATAGTATTTAAATAAGTATAAATATGATGTTCGGAACCATTTAATAGAGACGTACATTTGGAGTTGCCAGAAATTAGACCTCCTATAAAGGCCTAGAAAGTGCTGAGGGACGCTCACTGCAGCCATTACATTCTAGTAATACAGAGTGTTCTGGTTACTTTTGTGTACTCTAAGTTTTTTAGTATTCATGGCGAGAAGGCGGAGCTTGTGAAAGTTCCGCCCACACCACTACACTGGTAATTAATTACCACAAATTCTTTCCTCTGGAAAACAAGCCCTGCCTTTGAAAGGAACCACTTACAATATTTACAACTTGCAATACGTTGTAATACGTTTGGTATTGGAACCCAATGTCTTCTATTATAAATGCGTTTCAAATCATATGCCCAATCTGGGAGCAGCACAGGATTGCCAGCAGAGCAGGGCCGCTTGGGTGGGTGCCTCGCCCAAGGGCACAACCAGGTATACCTAGTCAGTCGTGGGATTTGAACCCACAACCTTTCGGTTTATGGCTCACCTCTCGTACCACCAGGCTACCAGCCTTTTATCATTTGGCCATACACTACAGATGTGGCAGATTGAAGTGATTTTGGTGTGCTCTTTTAACGTTCTGTCCACAGCATGGGTCTGCTGAAGTGTTACTGCATGCAGAGCATAAGCATAGAGCTTATATGGGCCTAAGACATCATATGAGCTCTGTTTAAGAAAATACTATGAGTCTAATCCCTTTAAAATAAATAGGTACCATCCATACTGTCTGGTTGGGGGTCTTCATGGCCGGATGTGATCAGGCTTTTACACAACTGCTGCACACTCACACTCTCTTTCCTCCAAATGGCCCCCAGCATCCTGTTTTCATGCCCCCACAACTACAAGTGCACAGCAGCAGCAACGTCACAAGGCTGCAGGCCGTCCACTGCAGAAACTGCCTGTGCCTAAACTAACTGCACTCACGAGACACAAAGGTGACCCGAGGCTAACTGCTTGCTTTCTTCACACAACCGCTTCTCTCATATGGTTAAAGACTAACTTTGAGTGCCTGCTGACTGAAAGAATACAAGACATCTGTCAGCACAACTGTGCCAATAAAAATGCAAAGCTCTTAAAACAGGCAAAGTAGTCTACTTTTATGTTTCACCTTATGAGTATGAGCATAAGCTTCACATTTAAAGGGGAATTCTGCAGATTTATCAGAATTTCTGCATAATTCAGCAGTTGATGTGTCCACAAAGTCGTTCAGAATGGTTTGATGTGAAATGGTTCACTTACAAACTTACAAACTCAGATTTCTTAACAGTGGTGGTATAGGAGGTGGTATAGGAACCAGGGGTCTCAATGTCTACAACACAAATAGAGCCATTTTAGCCACCAGTGAACCTACACGAGTCTTCACCACCACTGTGAACAAATCTTGATAAGTTTCTCTGGAACTGAGCATTTCACCTTCCACCCTAGGGGGTAAGGTGTCCCGAATTCTGTTGAGAGTGGTGGGGCGAAATGTTAGGGCTACATGGCCCTCCACATGAAGTTTTTTCAGAGGCACACTCCAAACAGAAAAACAGACAAGATGTCTGCATGAACGATCAAAGAAACCCACAAATGTGAGAATTTTCTCCATTAAAAAACTATGATAACCACTGTATTATCTTTATTTAAGGTTGTTTCAATGTATTATGGTCCTCTTCTTCACTAGTAGTTTGCTGATGTCTCAGTGGTTAGCTAGCTAAATTACCCATTCCACCTTAAACAGTGCAGCAGTTACATTCTGGCTCCATCAGTATTGCAGCACCATTTAAGGTGGAACAGGAAAATTTGAATGCTTCAGCTTCATATCACTGAAGAATTAGGGGTGGGTGATATTAAATATGTGTCTCATCCCGTCTTTGAAGGCATATGATTCCCTAAATGTAACTAAAGCCCAGCAGTGAGGAGCTGAACTTTACCCTCCTCTGCTGTCACTGCAGACTGGCAGGGTCACCTACAGAACAGCGCTAGTAGCTGTTAATGAAGTAATGCTCTTTTTATTTGAGGGTCCCATTTCATAGTGGAAGATTTCAACAACTACTCCTTGTAACTCAGTTCCAAGGGGCAAGGTGACACTCAAAAACAAGGGGAATGGGTAACAATAAGAAATGGGATTGGGCCTAAATGACTATTTATATCTTAGCCACTAAATTATGCAGAAATTTTGAACAAATGGCAGGATTCCCCTTTAACTGTAACATGTCAGGTATGGCACTGTTTTGCTGACTTAGCTGTTGACGTTTCTTGTGTCTGGAGAGAAGATTAAGCTTTAAGTGTGATAATCTGATCAGCAGAATGAGAATGTGGGCATGTCTATGAGTTGGCAGACATGCTCTAACTCAATATAAGGAATTAGCCAGCACAAGTTCTGTATTCTGTTGTTGAAAGAAAGAAGTCACCTATAGACACAATGCCAGCATTATAACTGTAATTAAGTTGGCGTTTGAAGTAGGACTTCTACTCAGACTAGAACACTTTGCTCTACCAGCATCATCATTCTAATGTTAACTACATTCCTAAAATAAAAGGTGCCCAAAAGGGCTTTTTTGGAATAACTCCATCAAGCAGCGACACCCAAAGTGTGGCCTGAGGGCCAAAGTCGGTCCGTGAGGTTCGATTTGGCCTGTTGAAAAGTTCCCCTAAACCTATACCCAAAGAGAAAAGATATTTTTACATTAAGAATAACTTACTAAATTCTTTATTTCCTTTTTTTGCCATATCCTACATATAAATACTAATAATAAATAATATAAAAATAGCCATGAATAATTTCTTCATGACCATTTCCCAACCTTTCTTTATCCATGCTGATGTGCCTTGATATATGACTGATATATGTGAATGAGCTCTGTTCTGATTGGCTGCCATGTATTCTGTACAAAAAGTAGGCTGAAACACTCCTTATAACTTCAGTGTGAGTGGGCGGGGCTAAACTTCTGTAGGCTGAATGAGTGGATTGATGTAAATAAATGGGTTTTTCATGACATCACAAAATCATTGAATCAAAAATAGGCTGTTCTTGTAAATTACTTTCTATGTATGTTACTTTAACAATGTCACATTGTTTGTTTACATATTATCAAATGTTTTATTTATGTTTTATTTCCACTATAATATTACCATAGAAGAATTACTCCTGGTTCCCTAAAGCAATATATGTTTTATTTGATAATATTACACTACAATAGTATCACAGAAGAACCATTCCTGGTTCCCTAAAGCACCTCTCAATGGATGGTTCTTCAGGGAACCATTTTTTAAATGAGATGTGTGTGTAAGAAGAACCTTCTTGAGTTTAAAGAACCTCCACATAAGCCAAAAATAATCTTTTTGAAAAGGGTTCTATACAGCACCAAAAATGGTTCTTCTATTCTTATAAGTCACAATAGAACAATCCTTTTTAGTGCTATACAGAACCATTATCAAAAAACATGAACAACACATTCTCCATCAATCTGAAGAACCACTTCACCATGCAAAGAACGATTTAAACATGCAAATGGTTCTCTTAATATTCATGGTTCTATACAGAACCATTATCTTTACTAAAGAACCCCTGAAAAACCATGTAATAATAATAATAGAAGGAGAAAAGAAAAGAAAAAACAGAAGAAGGATAGTGAAGAGGAGCAGAAGGATGAAAAAGAAGAGGAAGAAGAAGATAATGAAGAGAAGGAAGAAGACAAAAAAAGAATAAGAGGACGACGGCAAAAAAATAAGGATAAGAGGATGAAGAGGAGGAGAAGGAGAAATGAGAACACGATAAAGAAGAACAGGAGGAGGAGAAAGGGAAAAAAAACAGAAGGATGACGAAGAACGAGGCTGAAGTTGGCTTCCTAATCGCCAACTTCTTGCTCCAATTTCCCGTTCCATCTTAAACTGTGCAGCAGTGACATGTAACTGCATGGAACTGCTGCACCATCTGCTGCACCATTTAAGGTGGAACGGGAAAATTCGAGCAAGAAGCTGGAGAATAAGAAGCTGACTTCGTCTTCGTTGATGAACAGCATGAAAAGGGGGACGAAAGAGAAGAGGACGAAGAAGATAATCAAGAAAAAGAAAAGGAACATAAAGGAAAGAATAAGAGGAGGAGGTGGAGGAGGAGTAACGTTAGCTCTGCATCCACAGTCTGTCTGCCTGCACTTCAGCAGCACACAACGCTCAGTCAGCGTCCAAACTAACCCCGATTAACCCCCAACTAAAACTACTACCCTCCTGTTTTCGCTTTATAAACCATCCACAGGCTCTGTGGAGTAGTTTATCCCGGTATTTCACCCGTCTGACTCGCTAATTCTTCACTAAAAGTCCAAACTCACCTGTTTCTGTAAGAGCTCGACATGTTCAGCTTCGGCGAGAGGAGAGTGCTGCAGGAAAAACAGTCCGACGGGGAAACAAGCAGCGCTCAGAAAAGCATTCAACTCGGACAAGAAATTATATAATTAATTACACTAGCGTGTTTAAAACTGTCTATTTGTGGGTCCAAACTGGAGATTCCTATCTTATTAAGAAAATGAGAAAATGTTCTTTCTAAGGTATTTTAATTTTTTAATATAATGTTTATTTCTGTGGTTCTGCGGTAAGTGGGCCTCATTAAACATAGATATAAGTTTGTATGTAGCACAACTAGAGGAACAGTGCATCAGTTTTAGTGGTCTTAGTTACAGTTTACATTATTTCAGTTTCTGAAAGCAATGTCGTTGCACACATTTCATCAAAAACATTTTAAGATGCTCTTCTGGTCCCTATTGTGTGTGTGTGTTTTTTTGTTTGTTTGTTTGTTTTTTGTATTTTAAAATTTATGCAAATAACCATGTACAGCTCCAATAACATCTTGGAATAATTAAACATAAAGATTACCTTGAACCTATTCAAAGAAAAGGACAATACATAAATCCACACATTAACAACAAAATAAAATGAAATAAAATAAAACAAAAAGACAAATATGAACATAAATAATGATAACAGAAGATTTGACCAGTGCATAAGTCATACATGGATGTGATCTATGTGACTTAATTCAGTGCTTTAGTAATGTCATTTGACAGAAGAGAATTTTCTTTTTAGCGGTTTTGTTCCGTTCTATTTACAATAAGGAACAATAAAAAAATTCTGGTCATTACAGAATAGCCTAAAATCAGGAACCGATGGCATGGCTCTGGACTTGTGTATATATAATTTACCAAATAAGGTTAATAGTTACATAATCTAATTTATCCTACTTGAAGTAGTATCATAGTTTAGGAACAACATCACTGTCTCATTTATATCTGGCCTTAAAGTTAATCTCCAAAAATGGAAATACAGGCTGTATATCCATAATCCAGATAAAACTAATATTTGTGCTATTGCTGTTAAAGAAACTGTTAAATATCTTGGTGTTACGATTTGTAAATCTGAAAGAAAAAAAGGTGAGGGTGGGTCAAGGGTTGTTTATCCTGCCATTTCCCTTTGTGTTGACAAAAAAACATGTTTTAATTGAGTCACTTACATTTAAATTTATATGGAAAATTTATATGGTGGTTTTATTTCTTCATTCTTTTTGAATGTTATGGTTGTCTGAAATTTCAGCTTTTGTGTTTTTGTGTTTAAGGTCAATAATGCTGCAGAAATTTCTATAGCCTTTAAGGAGCTATAGTTATAGTGGTTAGTACACTGCAGGGCAATTATAGGTCATAATATAGAATTATTATGCAGCACAATCTTATCATTTCTAAACATATGAATAAATATTTTTTGTGAAGGCTTTTGTGAAGGTTACTTCAAAACAATACCATTAAAGTTAATTCAGCACTTTGGCTTTGGCAGTTTGGCTCCTACATTTTATTCAAGCTCCATTGTACCTGAGCTAATGAGGAGAGTCTCGGTGGAATAAAGTGTTTCTAAAAACAGTCCTGCTCTTGTGGGCTTTCTTGGAGCACAGAACTCTTAAAGGGGAATTCCACTTATTTTTCAAACTTTCTGCACAATGGAATTGTTAAGATGCTCACAAAGTCCTTCAGAGTGGTTTAATATGAAACAGAGGAACTACCTGAGTTTGAATTACTTACAGTGGTGGTGATGAGAACCAGACGTCTGAAGTGTTTAATGTCTCTAAAAGCTCCTTCGCATCCATTCATGGTGGAGGGAAACATGCAGGGTGTTGTGAAGGCAAAATAATAGCCCCAAAATTCAGATTTACCAATATTTTCTTATTGTCAGTATTACATATAAATTAAAAGCAAATCAGGTGTCACTATGATTACAGCACAAATATAGCAAACACAATTTCTACATTTGTTTTGTAATCACAGTGATTGTTACAAATCTGTAAAGAAATCTAGGTCAGCATGTTTCTCTACAAAGAACCGTTTCATAACAAAACACTCTGAATGACTTTGTTTACTTGTCATTACATGATTGACTTATGCGGAAATTTTGAAAAATCAGTGGAGTTCCCCTTTAACCTTTCTATCCCTCAGTGGAAGCCTATTTGACATCAATTTAGCATATTATTTTACTTTAGAGGATATGACTTCAAAACCCATTTTAAGCCTAAAAACTCTTAAAAATTATGTTTTTTGTTAATTGAAATGTTTTAGTACTCCTTTACAGGGGAATTCCACCAATTTTCCAAATTTCTGAATAATTCATGAGATGGAACCGGAGTCATTCAGAGTGGTTTGGTGTGAAATGGTTCATTGTAGAAGAACTTACAGACTCAGATTTCTTCACAGTAATGGTGATGGGAACCAAGGGTCGCAATGTCTACACCACACATATAGCTATTTTATTTAATATCCAAAACCACCAGTGAACCTACACGAGTCTTCTGAGCTTTTATGTGTAATGTTGATGATGGTGGCCTAAAATAGTGGAAAACCTGAAAAAGTAAGTTTTCTTTGGGGACTATTTTGCCTTACAACACTCTGCATGTGTCCTATTTTTATGAATGGTTGCGATGTCTACAGCACAAATGTGTTTTATTTACTATTTAGAATGACAAGTGAACCTAGTTTTATCTTCTTATCTGTTTATGTAATATTGATAATGGTAAAATATTGATAAATCTGAAAAAAGGTTTTCTTCAGGTATTATCTTGCCTTACAACAGCCTGTATGTACTTCTCGCTGTTGTTGGAAGAAAACCTTGTATCTCCAAAATGATGACTTAACAGGAGAAGGAAAAAACTTGCTTTACTTTTAATGTAAGTCAATTTCTTTTAGTCCATTCATCATGAAACTTACGTACAATGTGAAGGGTAAAACCGAAAAACGTCAAAAATGGAGATACAAGGTTTTCTTCTGACAACAGCAACACACATATACATATACACATAAATATAGATGTATATATATATATATATATATATATATATATATATATATATATATATATATACACACACACACACACACACACAAACACATTTATAGTATTTGGACCTAAACTTTATCTCCAAATTATCACAGTATATTCGTAATTTTTAATGTATGAACGGAGCATTTCACACCAAACCACTCCGGGTGACTTTGAGTGTTTACATCCCAACCATTTAATTACGTAAAATTTTGAGAAAATCGGTGGCGTTCCCCTTTAAGTCCTCCTCTCCTCCCCTCCGGCCGGAAGCTCTTATTTAATACCCAGGTGAACTGGAAGTGGAGGAGGTTTGTTGACATCAGGCAGAATAATAATAATAATAATAATAAAAAAAATAAAAATATAATAGTAACAACCAGAAAGACAGAAGCGGCGCCTCCGGGAACTGCTCTCCAGGAAAGTGAAGCGCGGTGGAAACAGCCGTCCGTCGTTCTGTCCCGGTAAACTGTGCGCCGCTGTCGCTGTCAGAGCTGCTGGAGAAGAGTTTGAGTTTGAGATTCAGCTCGACTTTCTTTAGCCTTAGCGTTAGCTTTAGCTTTAGCTTTAGCGTTAGCCTTAGCTCAGCTCTCGCTGCTGAACGTCAAAGGTTGAAGCTTCAGCAGCCTTTTAGCCACTTAGCTCTCCGCTGCTGATGCTACCGACCTCGCAGCGCTTCTGGATTGAACACCAGCACTGAGGACATCAGACTGTGGGCAATAAGTTAGTTTAAAGCTGTACAGCTCAGTGAGCTTTATCACATTTTATTAATATTCATGCTGCTTCACCATAAGACGGTCAAATGCGACGTTGGGGAAAGAGCTAATTTTGCTAACAGTAGCTTCACCGTGACAGAATTCACATTAGCCAATTTCGACTGATTATTTTTGTGTTCGTAAGTGGAAAATGGCAAAGTGTGTGATGGAGAGGTAGTGAAATCGTTTCACAGGGCTGGGAAAGTTACTGCTTATTGCATATTACTAGTGTATGATATATGTATGTTTATTTTTATGACAGGTTAAATAGCAGCAGTTGTCATTTTCATTATTGTTGTGTTTTCCTCCCCTTCAGAATTGCTGTCAGATACTGTATCTAACTCATTTCTTTTCCTTTATCCACAGGCTGGTCTCTCCTCTCCTCCTGATGCCCGCAGCCTGAGCCCGCCGTGCCCTCCTCGCCCCGGTTGCCCTGGTGTTTGGCCCAAAAGAGTGAAGGGTGCACCGCCATGGCAGGGAAAGCAGGGGACAACCCGGACAGCCTGATGGCTCTGTGCACAGTGTTCTGTCTGAAGAACCTCAGAAGAACCATGTGCTACGCAGGGGTCCGGAACAGGCTCTACCTGCGTCCAGATGTGTTCCTGCCCAGCGAGATCTGCGATAAGCTGGTTAATGTGTATGTACACGTCTCGCTTTGTGTCAAATATAAGCGCTCGGAGATGTGCATGCTGAGGAATGAGCTTTGTTAGGGCCGCATGAGATACTAGTACTGACTGCGGTATGCCTTACAGTATATTAAAAACACATTTGCGGGCTCCTGAGTGGCGCAGCTGCAAAATCATCAGCCCTGGCTAGCCAACATGAGGGTCTTTTACGTGACATAACAGAATGGGCTGTTGGTGTTCTTCTCCAAGTGCGCTGAGCTGTCCATTGAATTCACACTTCTTGATTTCCCAGAGGAAGCATGCGCTGGCCTTCATCCTCGCAGCTTGGTAGCATTGTGTAAGTAGGGTATACCTAGCTTGCAGGTGAAATTGGCAGCGATTAAATTAGGGAGAAAACTGCTGTGGTGAATATCAATAACATAACAAAAGCCTCTGGTCTGCACGTTTTCCCAAAATAATTTACTTTTGTTGGATTGCATTAATCCCTTCATTCATCAAACCCAAAGAGCCACTCATTTGGAGCTTTGATTGGTCAGGATGTTCACTGAGACCTCTGGCATTAACCAGTGAACATCCTGGAGATCTCAGTGCAAACCAATCATGCAAACCACCTTAGAAGGTAGTCATGGACACCTGTGACAACTGTGTTGTCACA